GAGAGAGAGAGAGAGAGAGAGAGGGGGGGGGAGGTTGGAGGGGCACGGAACTGGTGGGTGGGCCGAAGAGGGCGGGGGGGATGGGAGGGAGGGGGGGAGGTATAAAGAGGGACAGCGGAACGAGATTGATCAGTCCAAGATCGAGTGGGTTTAAGGAGAGGAAGCGACAGAGGACAACCAAGGCTGATACAAAAGCCATGCTGACGTGGACATCCTACCCTACAGGCTGATACAAAGGCCATGCTGACGTGGACATCCTGCCGTTTTCACCGGAATAGAACGCCCGGTCTTTATCGCTGTGCAGGTGGACAGAAAATCGCCCCAAGTACTGCTAGGCGTTAGATTCGGGGGTGAAGACGGTGCGAGCAGATGACTCGCAGAAAAGGCGTGCAGATCGGGACGCAGACAACGAAAGATAGATTTTTTTTTTTTCGTTTTTTCGAAAAGACAAAAAAATCAAGCAAGGCGAGACGCGGACAACGAGAGAGATACCTTTCTCGGCCTTTGGCTAATTACTGTAAGATCAAGTGCAGTACCTGTTCTGATCACTCAAAAAAAAAAAAAAAAAAAAAAAAAAAAGACAACGAGAGAGAGAGGAGCCACTGGCACACAAGCGCTGACGTGGACGCAGATGACGTGTGCAGGAAGGGCGCAGGAGGATATGGCTGGTAAGTACTTTTTGACCGTTGAGCGAGACCGAGGAGAGGTGGGGCGAATTTGGTCTTAATTTCGGTCAGATACGGGCACGAAACTCACAGAGAGAGAGTGTGAGTGTGACCTCAGCGGCTTGTCATCCAAATGTGAGACCAAGAAATCGAGAACAACGAGAATGACGAGGTGGAGGCAGTCGTCGGGATCGGAGCAGCCGCGGGTCTGAAGATAAAAGTCAAAACAGAATACGGCGGGTGAAAGAACTTGTCGGGATCGGGACTGCCGCAGGTGGGGGGGAGAGACAGGATCAAGGGGGGCCGGGGAAAGGTAAGCCGCTCAGAATTGGCGGGAAGGGAGCACAGCGAGCAGCAGTAGAGACCTCAGCGCCAGGCAGAAGGAATGGAGGAAGGGGGTGCGGAAGGGAGGGAGGGAGGAAAGGGG